TCCCTACAGAGGTGACCCTGAGTGAGATTAGAGCTAAGCTTACTTAATCTCATTCACCAGTTTTATTCTACCACTCCTTTCTCAGCCTTTTTTTAAAACCCTTGCTCTGATTTTGTATTACTATTTTATTTTGCTTCTTTGGTGGCTTGCATCTGCAAAAGCTGTATTTGCCAGCAGTTGCCTTATAAAAGTTAGAACACAGACTTTTCTTCAAGTCTTTCAGTGTTCATAAAGCACAAAAGTCATGTTGCTTATATGAAATTTAAAGTAGGAGCATATTAATATATGCACACAGGATGCTTTATTTGTTACTACATTAAAGCCAAAGTAGCACGGATACAAATGAGATATCGAATAGACATGCTTTGTCATAGGATCACATGTTTTGAGGCTGAGGAAACCAAACGTAATTGCGTAACTGGATCTGAAAAACAGATGTGAAAAACTTTGCACACTTATATCAGGAATAAGCCTAGTAACTCTGTCTTAGCTATGGTAGGATTTCTTACAAACAAGATTTAAGAAATCTCTCAAATAACTAAGGCCTATATATTTTAATCCTTCCTAATAGTCAATAAACATTATGAAGGGAAGGCTTTATATTTAGTCTGGAGTCATTTGTCTTCAATGTTATGCTTTCTGTTTTCAGCTATCTTAGAGACATAATATGGAAATATTTTCCTATTGCTCATGAAGTCATTTACAGATGATGACTGAGTCATCTCTTGCTCTGCTCCTTGTTTAAACTGTATAGATTGGAAAAGCTGACTTGCAGTGGAAAACTTTTAAGACTTTAATTTCAAAATGTTTTCGTAGCACTTCTTAATAAAAGCAAAAAATCCATAAGAATGTTTACTGTGTGACAGGAAGTCTGGATAGTAGAACTTGCCAGCACTACAGCTATCTGTGTGCTGTACAGGCATAATACTATCTTCTCATAATTTGGTGAGGCTGACTTTGTTTCTGCTACTAGCTCTCAGTACAGTACTGTCTCTGACAGCTGTCAAAGGATTTGG